AAATCCAGGAAGAGGAAGGTTATTTAAGTGTGGGAGTGGCCTATTTGAATCCATTTTGTTTGAGACCATGCTGCAAAGTGAGTGTGTTTGCTGATCCTGTGAGTTCATTTATCTCCTTTAACTTTAGCTTACATTGTAGTTATGCTATGTAGCGTGTGAAATAGAGTATGGTGAATGTGCTAGTAAAGGTAGTATCAGCATTGCTTCTGCCTGGAGCTCGCATAAACGGAGCCTGGGCTTGGTTGAAGTTGGCAGTGCTGTTTGGGCTGAGATCACTGTCCAGCCTCCTGGAGGTGTCATTGTTGTGAGGGCTCGTCCTGGGGAGGTAGACTGTACAGCCTAACCCGGCGGGGGAGTGTGATAGCCTAACAAGGCTTCCTTCCCTGGGTCTACCTCCTCTGTGGTAGTATAGGTAAGGTAAAGGAGGTTGTTCGGTTAGTGTGGGGAGCAGTGAGACCTGGCATTAGGGGAGTGTCTCTGGGACGCCAGAGATCACTGTCTAGCCTCCTGGAGGTGTCGTGGGACCAACTAGACGAAACACCGGTGAAAGGAGGTTCCCACCCGATGACCCCAAAGACATGTTAGTTATCACTGCTCACTGGTCTGTATAGTTAAGCCTTGCCATAATAGCTTATCGTAGGGCTTAGGAGGTTATTCACTGAGTGCTGATCCTTTTTTTTTTTTTTTTAGAGCACAAACTTCTTGTGTTTATTTGAATAAATTTAGCCTTGGGACTAGCAGAGATTTCCACTCTGAATGAATGAAGCTAGGATAAATCACACACAAGACTTAAAATGCTATTATGTGGGGGCTTTATTGTCTTCACAACCTATTGTTTCTTATCTGTGAACTCAAAAAATAAAAGCCTCATTTCCACTGAAGGAATGGTTTTCAGCTTACAAAAAAGGCAGGAGGTCTGCGTTGCTGCAACGGTGGTGTGCGTCAGGCTGTGGCATAGAGAGAAAGATGGCTGCAACAGGAGGCTCAGGTGTACTCCTGACACTTTTAGCTAACTGCCTTCTTTTAAAGTTTTTAGATACAGGGCCTAAACTTGTCGACACAGGGCCTTATTTTAATAAGTGTTTTTCTAGTGAACGGAGAAAAATCACCCTCAAACATTTTGGATATGGCAGTTTCGTGCTGCTGTCCACTTTCCTGTATCCAAACTGGCATATCTACTCGAAACGTCACGGAAAGGGAAATGTCAATGTGTTATGTAAAGGACACAGTTAGCTGTAATGAAATCAAATTCACAAACTGTGAACTGGAATATCTGGGTCTAAATATTGTACTCTCGCCAGAGATGTCTTTTACTCTAAATGTTAGCTTCTATGAATAATTTAGAGATCTATTGCAACAGTGTGATTTTAATAGAGAAGTGATAATGATTGGAGATGTGAATGTGAACTGGGAAGATAAGTCCTCAAGAAAGCAACTTAAACAAGTAACTGACAGCTTTAATCTAACACAAATAGTTAATGGGCCAACCAGAATTACCAATTCCTCTAGCACCCGGATTGATCTAATTTGTAGCAACATGTCAGACAGAATAATCAAATCGTATAACATGATAACTGGGCTGTCTGATCATAATTTGATCCTAATGGCTAGAAAAGTGAATGGAAAGAAATGTATTCCTGTTCAGAGTACAGACTTCATGAAGATACTTAAGAATAAAAAGGAAGACTTTAAAAATGCTGTCCAGAGTATTAAGTGGGACGACCTGATGAAATCAGATAATTTGGACTATACTAGTCAATGCTTTATGGACAAATTACACACAATTATTAAAGATTTTTTCCAAGAAGTTTAAAAATAAAAATAAAAGGGCCTCCCTTTCAGGGATAAATGAAACTATATTTCAAATCATGAAAGATCGTGATCAGACCCTAAAAACAACATTGAAGTCCAAACTGACAACTGACACAAATTTACATCATTAAGAAACAAAGTAACAAGAGAACTTAGGAAAGCCAAGGCAAACTACTTTCTTGAAATAATAGTAAATAATAAGGGAAACTCCAAAATTATATGGCAGCAAATAAAGAAATTAACTGGACAAAATAATGCTAGAAAACAGATTGAGCTGAGGATTAATGATACTTTGACAAATGAGCCGACGGATGTAGCTGAAGCCTGTGATGGAAAATTAGGGTATTTAAACATATTTAACCTATAATGTGTTGTATAAGATTACTTGTTTTGATGAAACTGAACTTCTAGCCTAATGATATGTGTTGCTCATTTAACCCCTACTGTGACAGCAGTGAGAGACACCAAGGTCACGAGCCAGGGAGGCTCAGACACCAAGATTATGAGCCAGGGAGGACAACAAGTGTCCTTGTTAGTCTCAAGAGATGTTGTGTTTTAGGAATGTCAAGGCGCCACATATTTTGACTGTTGATGTGCATGTGTTACGGGAACTATAAAGATAGCAGGGTGAGAGGACTTGCTAGGCATTCACTGACTAACTGTTCATGCTGTTGTATGTGTGAGTGTCTCCATTCATGAAAGCTTATTAAAACTCAAGAAAGACAGCCAACGTGTGAAGACTTTTCTTTAAACTGTTCATTAAATAGTAGTTTTGCCACCACAAGCCCTAAATGGTTATTTTGTAGAATCTGTAGCTACTATTACCAACAGTTTTCCCTTACACCAGCAGTACAGTGTCACGGCACCAAATCCTGCTGCGCCCATCTTCAATTTAGAAAGAGTGTCTGAAAGTCAAGTAGTGAAGGTGATTGACTCACTCAAACCCAAATGGTCAAAGGATGTATATGAGATGGACTCTGCTATGATCAAGGATCTTGCCTGTTTATTGACGAAACCTATTACACACATTGTTAACATTTCATTTACTCAGGGCCAGGGGAGTTTCCCTGAATACTGGAAACCTGCAGCTGTTGTTCCCATTTTTAAGAATGCTGACCCTTACTCTGTATCAAATTATAGACTAATTAGCATACTTCCTGTAATGTCCAAAGTTATTGAAAAATTGGCAGCAGAACAACTAATTGACCTATGACGTGTATTTCTGTTACTGTAATTTGTTTTGTTTTTTTACCAGGTCACTTAGCCGTGTTCCTTCTGGCAGGGGGACTGCCAATGGAAATTAGCCTTTTGGCTACAATTGGGTGCATTTACATTTTATTTTTAAAATGTTCATTAATCTACATTGTCCCTCTACAACAATTAAGGATAAATTAAATTAAATTCAATTCAATTAGGTTATGCCGTCGATTAAATGCAGAAATCCCGCTTCATTGTGTGCTCATGAATCACCCTTTAAACCTGTCAACAACTCTAATGGAGAAATGCAGGTTTGGATGTGTGTAGAAATTATTTGTGGCTGTAGTGAACACTTATGCCTGAATTAAATTTTCATACAACCTGTTACCTTGATATCTGACACCTGTATAAATCTAAATGAATTAGTTTAAAGAGAATAAAAAACATTTTTGACTAAGAGAAATGACTAAAAGTTGACTATAATTTGTCAATTGTAGTTAACTAAAACTAGACTAAAACTATGACTAAAATGTGATTATAACTTATATGTATTTTCATGTAAAGACTAAGACTAAATCTGAAATAGCTGCCAAAATTCACACTGTTAATCAGGTGACAAAATTACATTTAGTCTTTGCAGAGTGCCCTCAGGTGAATTAACAGATGGCCAATTCATGGGTAAAGAAATGGGATTTGAGGTTTGTTCTTGAGGAGGCAAAAAAAAAAACTATATATTGAATGATTTTCACGTGCCAATCAGTGTCAAGTCATCAGTCCAAGTGTTACAGTAACTCCATTCTAACACAAGGTGGCATAAGGTGGCTGTAGTTTGACAGACAGAGCAAGTCAGAGAGAGGACAGGAGACAGACATGCTCTATGGAAATGATGTGATTTGGTTTTCCAATCCTCTCCAATCCCTCACACAGACAGGCACCCATGACAGTGCTGCCCTCGTCCACCCCCCTGCAGTGTAGCTGTGTTTTATTATTCTCCTCTCTAACTGTAATATCTTTAAATCTTTTTATTCGTTTAATAAGTAAAACATTCTTCTGTTGTATGAGATCACTTCACTGGTGTGCAGTCATGTTTGACATGGCTCAGGAAAATGAGCGCTGACGAGTGTCCTGTCATCACAAAATTAACGGGGGCGGAATAAGGCAGATCACCGCCTTGCTGACAAGAAAATGGTACACAAAATTTAACACAGTTCCTGCATTAATTTTCTGTGAATGAAAACACAATATTTCACCCTTTTAGTTAAATTGATTGTTTTTTTAATACATATATGATGGTAAAATGGGAAATCTGATTCCAAACCAGTGTTAGGATCCCTTGTCTGCTGCTCCTGACTTGTCGCACACTATGCGCCTCATACTGCAAAATAGCTTCAAATTCCCAGTCTGGTCTCTTTGATGTGTATCTAAGGTTTTATATTCATTTTATCCACAAAGGAGGTCTTTCAACCCCTAGCTAGCTACTGCACAGAATGCAACCAATGTGCCATGTTTGATTTCAAAATCCATTTTGCTGTCTTCATGTTTCTGCCACATACTGTAGTACATGCACGGTAAGATTTTCACCAACTAACTGGAGTAGCCCTGCTGAAATTTTTGACATACATTGCCACTGGAGATACAGGCTATTTCAGTACACTAATATCAAATAGAGCAGTTGTTTTTTGGTTTAGAATAGTGGTTCCAATTCAAAGGGGGTAATGAGAACAATCTGAAGGGTTGTGAGATGATGTATAAGATGACAGATAAAAAAAAAACATGCCTGGTATTGTGCTTATTTTTTCAGGCATTGCTAATAAGGAACTATTCTTTACTTATCAGAGGAGGAGGGTAGCTGGTGTGTGACTTTAAAGTTCTTTAAAGCTTCTCAAGGGAAACAAAAGGGAAAAACTGAATGATTAAAGGTTAAATAAATTTTACATATTTGGTCTTAATGTTTTTATTTAATTTTCCCATCATCCTTCACCAAAACATACCAGTTTCCAGTCTTGCTGCAGGCCCTCATCGCTGTAGAGCATGTAGTCAATCCGGCGTCCGTTGCCCTTCAGTGGGATCTTCCTCCCCTTCTGACTGCTGGCAGGACACTGGCTCTTACTGGGAGGAAACACCAGGTACTCCTTTCTCCCCTCCTCGTTCTCCATCACTCTGACAGACACAAACAGAAATGGGAAGGGATCAGAAAACCGATGGTTTGACAAAGGATGTAGCCCTGGAATTGCACTGCAGTCAAAACACAGCTAGTAATAAAACAACAAGCGTTCAAAGGCAGTCAGATATATACTGTGACCATCTGTGGTAAAAAGAAGAGACCAGAAATAGTGGAGTGGAGTGCTTATGTCAAAGGTCAGCTATCGGCCAGGATGTAGAGTTGCAATGTTACATTCTTGTGGCATCCACAAACATCTTTTGCAAACTAGTGGAAGGCACTGTCAGTATAATCCCTACACATTCACTTCTGGTAGAATGCAGCTCCTGTAATACAGCATATACAGCATAATGTCAGAAATGGTTAGGCAATTCTGCAGCTTCTGAGTGACATCTCATTTCTGTCAAAGATATTACAATCTGTTAATATCATTACAATAATTGAGTTAGAGATGCTACTGTTGATGTTAAGTTAGAGAATGAATGAGGGACCCACTCTAAATCTAAATCTTAGGGTTAAGACATTTGAATTAGATAAGGGTTGGTCTAAAGCCTCCTACAGACTGTGAGATTGTAGCAATCTTATAAGTTTAGTGCAGCTACACTATGCGACATGGATCTAATACACTTGGGTATGACATCAAGTTTGATGTATGCAGACTGTATGACAACAGTGCCTACTGAATTCCATGCCAGGACGTACGTCCATGATCATCAATATGCAAGAACAGAACGTCATTGTTGTGCATCATCCATGTACGCTGCTGTAGTGGTAAGAGAAAAATAAAAACAAACATGAATGAAGCCCTTGCTATAGTGGCATTTATGTGTTGAAAAAGTCTGAAGAGGAAAAGGGGGAGGAGAATGTGGATGCGGTTGTGGTTGTGCAACAAGAGCTCAAAGTATGTATTTATTAGCATGTACTAGCATTTCGCGCTGTCATGATAATCAGTGCGTCATTTCATGCTGCATTTCTGTTGGTCAGTAGACATAGATTGTCACCATGAGATGGTCATTACAAATTTTCGACACTGTCAGAATTTTATCCCAGGCTGTCTTTGATTGCAAAACCATGACAACAGCCATCCTTGAACCTCTCTCACTGTGCGATGTAGGACCACTGTTTTAGAGCCACGACCAAAGATATCGCCACATTTCTTTGATGTTGGTCATCTTTTGTCTGGGACAGCCCAATATAAACAGTGTATACCGGGATTAAAGCATGTAGTGGTTGAATGTGAATGAGTGTAAGTCAGTGCATGTCAATGGTATTCTAAGTGAAGAAAACAAGTTAGTGTATGTGACTTACTTCTGTAAACTTTCAGGTGAACTGACCTCGTCGTCATAAAGGCCACTGGGATCCAGTAAAGTACCTGTTGAATGACACATTAAAATGCATCACAGTGCAGACAAACTCATGTTTCTTATCATTTTCACCGATTAGTCTCTGGCTCCACTTCTTTGTCATCGCCTTTGGTCGTAATTTGCTGTGCTACCTCCACGATCTCCGGTGGTGCTGCTCCATGTCATCCGTATCTGTAAGCTTTTAGAAAAGGTGCATAAATAGTCCAAGCGGAAGGCTCGGTTCATCTCTGTATTTGACATCGAGCATAAAAGAGCCCTTTCAATCAAGAGTCATTCTTACAGTCCTACACAGGTCCATTTTTAAAAATCCACGCCTGCCACACCTGAAGCTCAATACCAGAACTGACCCTTTACCCTTCATTATGTCTAAGTCAAAGCCATACCCACCTGCACCTGTTAATAAAAGTCCCAAGCCCCGACCTGCATCTGTGATTAAACACACACAGGCTATAGTCACTCACATTAAGCTGGATTCTCAGTTCTTGAATTACAAATCCAGCAGAGGAAAAGTCTGTTTCACTGGCTGCACTCGATGCCAGGATGGCAAAAACATTTTGCACATTTACTGCCAGGTTAGGAAACATTTTAGCATGCTCCTTCCACCGCATCAAACCTAAATAGGATCCTCCTTGGGTGTCTTGAACTCAATATAGGCTGCCACCTCATCCTCGGGCTGGAAAATTTAATAGCTGAAGTCCTCCATGTCGGTGATGAATGTGACTATGGAGTCAAAGGTTCAACTTGTTTCATTGACTTTCAAAATAAAAGGAATTGCGGCTTGATAATAGTGTACCCAACCCAGTGCAGGATTCTTATACCTCCTCTCATTTTACAGTACTAATACAGGTTGAATGAAGAACCAACTATATCTAACTAGTGTCAAGTGAGAACTTTCTTGAGTTCAGTGAAGGACACCCAAAGATAGAAGTGCTCTTCTGTCAGGCTGAGGGCTCATTTATGCTCGACGTTAGATAAAGAGACAGACAGAGCCTTCTGTCTGTACTCTGAGTTGATTTCATCAATATTTGTGCACCTTTTCTGAAAGCTTACAGATACGGACGAAACTGAGCAGTGCCACCGCAGATCATGGAGGCAATGTATCTTAGTTTAAGCGAGCTATGACTGTAGTAGGACAAAGAAATTTAAATAAAGGTGAAAGAGAACAAATTGGTAATATAGTGAAAAGAATTCACCAGCCACATGTTGGGATGGATTTAATGGCCTCACAGACCACTGCCTGCTAAATGCTACCTCTGTTAAAAGGTACAATATTATGTCCTCCTCCACCTTCACCTCATTTGTTGTTCCAGAAAACTTTTGAGTCCACCCTCTAATGCCATCTATTGGCTGTATCTCTACCATCATAAAGGAAGTATGGAAGGATGAGGGCAGTGACATCTACGTTTCAAACAGATCTATGGGAGTATTAATGAGCATTGAAAGTGGTGGGTGGGTCTTAATGTGACTATCCAACAATCATTAAAGATCTCTGCAGTGATTGGCCAGGTGAGTAAGTATAAAAATGGTCAGAGTTCACACTTCACCCATTGCCTGTTTTCACCACTGAAAAACACCAAACTTCTGAGCCATGCTTTCACAGAGATGGGAGGCATGTGACTGTAATCTGGGTCATCTTTTGAGCAATTGTTGGTACTAATATTCAGATAGATAACCTTATACTTCATCTCCATTACATGTTTTTTTACTTGCAGCAACACACCTGCTAATATAGCTATAGCTGTTTTACATTTCTGTATATTTAGTGATCTATCTTGTATGCTTTATGCTTTCCTCCTCCTCACTGTGACGACCAGCTTTGTCTTGAGGACAGCTGATCTAAAAGTACAGCTTAGCTTTTTTTTAGTGTGGCAAAGGAGGCGTGTGCACACTTTGTGGTAAGAGCATATACTGTACTGTATCTCTGTCTTAATGGTCCTCAAAACACAACTGTTAGCCAGTGAAATATAACAGCCAGAGAGAGATGGGCACTCAGAGATCCTTTTGACAAAGAGGATGTGAGGCTGTGGGCAGGATGTGTGTAAAATGCTCCATTTGAAGGAAGCAGCTCTCTGAAGTTACTGCAGCCAATTCACAATTGTTGGGAGCTCTTCTCTGGAAAAGTATAGGTATACATGAGATTCCACTTCCACCATCACCGACAAGCTGTAGCACATGTGTAGGCAAGAAGATAAATATTTCACACCAGCCACAGTTACTGCACTTGTTGGGTTTTTGGTTTGTGGTTGACATGTTTAATCTGCCATCAAACATGAACTCGAATGCATCACCAAAAGAGCTGTGTCAGTTATCAATGGGAGAGATGATCAATGGTGAGAGATTTTGACTGAAACCTTTAATTTTCACAGCTTCAAAGGTGCGATTTTAATTCCATCTCGCTGCTTTTTAACTATCAAGTGGCCCCAGGCTAGCCATAATTCCCACATGATTAAAATACAGCACAGGCCCTCAAGGTTGTCTGTGTGTTGGGCTGGCTGGGTGGTCAGCATTAGAAGATTCCCAGAGCTCTCAGAGTTCAGCAAATATCATGAAATGTATCCACACACTCCGAACAACATGTGACAGTTACTGGCAGCCTGGCTCTCTCCCTGCCTTTCTAAGCCTTGCTATTGTATTCATTTAGGTCTAATCTTCTTTGGATAAGCTTTATGAAATGGGATAATCTGTCTATCTTTTCTTTCATTGATCCATTCTTCTTTTCTTGCCTCCGTCTTCTCCTCCTGTCTAATAGCGACCAAATGGGAGGTGCAGACCTGTTCCCCTGGCTAGCCACGCAAAATGTCCCTGTCCAAATAAATAAGCCCTTCTCTCAGCCCTTTCACTCTGCCCTGCCCACTCTGTCCCCAAAATACCGCTGGCCTAAATAACGCCTCACATCCAGACGAAAACCCTCCAGTCTTTACGTCACTAATGCCCATGTATCAACATGCTGTACTAGGTGCATTTTAATTCATACAGTGGGTGCATCCTCATTTAGCCAGATCGAGCCAGATTAGTCTACTCTACTCTGTGTACACTGTATGGATCACCACTGAGCTTATGTGTGTAAAGCTTTTAGAACATAATGTAACAATACTTTTTGAGGATCAGTTTTGGTGTTGGTGTCTATGTTCCTAAAGTTTGATCTGTGAGGGCATGCATGTATTAGATAGATTAGAACTACAGGATATGTGATGTCCCTCTGTGTCCCTAGAGGAACATGTGACTGTGCTTGTGTGTGCGTATTGTTACCCAGAGCCCATGGTTTGTCCTCCCCTGGCCCCAGGCGACATGGGTCCTTGTAATGAGTAAAAAGTGCATGCTGCTGTTCCAGCTTGTCCTCTAGAAAAACATAAGAGAACACACACAGTAGAATCACAGCTTTAGTCTATACATTAGAAAAGCGATCCAAACATATCCCTGAGTCATCTTTCTCACTAATCACTGCCTGACAACAGCATGTAATACTAAAGCAAACACATTCCTCTCTGGATAAAATTAATATATACTTTCACTTCCAATATTATTCTCAGAAATGAAAAAATAAAATAAATTTCAGCAGAAAGCCAATATTGAATTTTTTGTTTTCTTTTTGACGTGCTATTGCTGATTTTACCTACAAACAAACTATGAAATGCATGATAATTTTACCTAAATGTGGTACTGTATGACAACATGGACAGTAAGAAGTCTCCTTCAGATTGTATTAGAAATACAAAATACAACTGTCATTCTCACTGGTAACTGAAAGGGAAATTAATAACCCTCCTAAAAAATGAACACTGACGGAATTCTAACATGGAGAAAAACAAAAAACAAACAAAAACAATCAAAATGCTAGATAATACTTAATCCACTTTAATCTTATACACTTAATTTCAAGTAACTGAAATTTGTCTTTTATCTAAAAAACATTTTCATTGATTAGTACTACAACTAATGAAGCCTCTTGGATGTAGGACAAATTTCAGGACTACAAGATATCCAGTGACTGGGACAAAAGATAACCTTTACAGAAGGTGATACATAATAATGGGTGATTCTTAGCATGTGAAATAATTGTTCCATAATTCCAGTGAATTTAAATGTTAGCTGATCCAAGCAGCAAACCATATTAGATAACAACTGACAAAACCCTGTCTCTCACTTTGGCCATTAGATGGCTCCTATCAGTGCTTGTGCATTTCATCCTGCCCAAGAGAGAAGTTCTACCTTGGGGCATTCCTGAAATAAACATTAGCCCCTAAGCAGCTGATGGCAAATTTAATCAGTTAAATTAAAAGTGTTTTGTCACTGGCAGTGAGTAAGAAAAAGCATAGTTTGTGTAAGAAAAATCAGTGATGTTGGAGAGACTGGTGCATTTATTAGTGGTAGCTAATGACATCAACTGTATTTCTCACAGAAAGGTTTATGCTGTTACCAGGCTGGCTGAAATATTAAAACAGTCATCACTGGAATCATACCATCATGCTTCTGTCAAAAACAGTATTACACTTTTCACTTTCAGATATATCAATGAATTATCTCCCTCACAGAAAGGTTAGCACACTTGTAGCTATGGTATTAATATGAACTATATTTCTACAAGACAGTTGTTTCAGTTATCAGTGGTTACTAAAGGGTAATACACACAGCAAACACACACAATTTTCAGACATGCACCACTATTTGCTCCTAAAGCCAGAAGCCCTCCAACCACTGATAAATGCACTGACACAAGCTATTGTAACCTAACATCACTCAGGTTTTTTTTTTTTTTTTTACAAAAACATGGTTAATCTTACGAGCCACCAGCCATAAAACACTTTAACAACGGCAGACTAAATTTGCCTTCAACTGCAAGCAATTCTCAAGAAACACAGGCCAAGTAGTCGGCCGCTCTGAACAGGCATGTGTTTGAATGGGCGCTGCACTAATACTTTTATAAATGACACATTATAGACAGGTATTTACTGCTTCTTGGATTTCATATGTCATCAGGATGGAAGAGTTATTAAGAAACGAAACGTTCACCATGTTGGTGTTTGGACTCATCAGCATAAAATAAACCGTAACGTTTGGAAAATATTTATTAAGCCCAGACAACATCATACCTGAAGAGCAGTTATCAAAGTTGAGGTCTCCCAGGATGACATCAAAGGCAACCAGCTCTTCCTCCTTCTCTCCTTCAGGTGTTTGGGATGAGGATTGGCGAAACTCAGCCCCCCACTGGAGCAACAGGTCGAGCTGCTCACAACGCACAGATGCATCACCTGGTAGACAGTGCAGTGTGTGTAGTGGTAGAGAGAGGGTCAAAGCAGGGGAAAGGAGACAGAAAGCAAATGAACACAAAAAGTTTCCCATAAAGTCATTCAACCATGTCTGAATGAAACTGATGTACAAAGGAGGGAGAGGATAGAGTGCAAGCCTGGGTATTATTAAAAACTCAACTGCATGTTTCACTGTGTGAGAAACTGTGAAAATAACATATAATATGCTATGATATAACACCTCTGGATAGGATACAATATGGTATGACAGAGTATAGAAAGATATACTGTATAATACAATACAACAGGACACGTGTAATTTGAGAGGGGTCACTTGTAGCAACAAACCCCACAGAGAATTATCATCAACTCTGCAGATCCCTACTGTTTTGGTTTATTACACTCATCATTCTTATTTTCAGCAACACCAGGCAGCTGTTGGCAGTGAAAAGGCTTGGAAAGACTCACTGTCCACAGCAAACAGCAGACAGACGCAATCGGAGACTAGCTGGTGAACGTAATGAAGGATTAAGCAGCTAAAGGTGTGGCCAGAAACACAACCTCAAGTGAATGCTAATGTTGGTTTCTTGTCCACTGGATGTTTGAATTGCTGTTTGCCAACATGTTGATGGTTCACTTATTACCTGTAACTGCTTATCCTGATACAGGGTCACAGGTGGGCTGCAGCCTAAAGCGGGACAAATTAATGCTGTACCTACAGAGTAGGCTCTGTATAATTGCATACCCTATGGTGTAGCCTGATGTGCAACTCCCCAGAAATGTAACTACATGTCATGGCAACGCAGACCTCCTGTCTGTTTTTGAAGGCTGAAAATTATTTCCCTTAATGGAGATGAAGATTTTATTAAATTTTATTTCACAGATGAGAAACAATACATTGTGAAAACAATAAAGCCCCCAACAGAATTTTAAGTCCTGTGTGTGATTTATCCTGACCTCATATGGGTAGAGAAAAACTCTGCTAGCCACTGGGCTAATTTATGCAATGTAAAATTTCATAGTCTTATGCTAATAATGTTGGCGCTGGGATTTACGGGACTACAGATGATTTAGCATTTGTCAAGCTGTACATGTAAAGGTTTCTTCTCTGGGCCTTGCCATCAGAAAAGGTGGCCAAAACCGCATGTTCAGGATGGCACACATCTCCACAGGATGCCTCATTCTAACATTGAAAGCCCCTTTTACACTGCCAGATGGGCTGTTTTGCCAGCAAGCTGTGAGCGTTTATACACACAGAGCCGGATTGGTGAGTTGATCCGAGGTGCCCAATTTTCCGCCTCATAGGGTAGTCATATTGGCGGAACCCTTTTAGTTTAAACAGACCGAAGCAGCCCTCCGCAACGGGAGGGGCTGTTGAAGACTTGTGGGAGGAGCTGTTGATGACAGCGCACGTGCAACCCACTGCTGGTAGATAAAGAGGAAACAGGTGATAGCAGGAATTTGCGAGCAGCTAGTAGCAAGAGGAAAACGCAAACCTGACAGACACTGTAAAGATAGGCAACTGAGGAGACAAGGAATTGTGCGCTGTCCTTATCCTCGCAAACGAAGAGGCCATTAACCATCAGATGACAGGAACGGTAAAGAATGGTCCGACTTACGAGAGAATTGCCGAAGGACTGACCAGCTGCGGCTTCCCTCCCACGTCACTGTTTACGTCACATGCTGGGCTATACGTTTTGTTACTTGCTCACGCCCCCCATTGCCCCAAAAAAGGCACATTCTGTATAAACAAAAGTAGGTAGGCGGTATTTTGCTGCACTCCCCGATTTTGTTTTTATACTGCCAATGCTGAAAAAAGACTGATTGGGTTTTCCTGCAAATTTGCACAACTCCTATCTAAAAAGGGCTTAAAGAGGCAACAGATAGCATATTTTCCTAAATATATCATTATGAAAATAATGTGGGTTGCACAGGGTAGTGGCCACAGTAAAATCAGTCTATCAGCGTTTACATTGGTTACTTAGTGGCTTTGCAGTCTTTGCAATAAGCTTCTGGTCAGCCAATCAGGGACTGGAGCTGGTCCTTATGAGGAGTTGGGCATGAGATAGTTCAGTCACGAGCACAATGGCAGACGGGCAAAGTTTGGAGACAAGTGAAAAACGGCCTAGCAAAAGAAAACAAGCTCCTCTGTCTGAGGAGGCAAAGAAGAGCAAAAAGGAGAGTGATAAAAGAAGAGGAAAAACAAGAGTAAACCTCAGTCAGGCGTTAAAGAGATGTAGGGAGCTCCGTGACCAAAGAGGCTTCAAAACGCCTATCGCAGCGGTGCCTGGACAGCGTGACGTGTGTGGTTGTGCTGCTGCCTTGGTCCTGCCAGATGCCTCCTGCTGCTGCTGCCATCATTAGTCATTAGTCATACTTCTACTGTTATTATACATATATGACTATTGTCACACATGTATACTGCCAGATATTAATACATACTTTCAACATATTGTACCACAGTAGCCAGAACTATAACTATAATATTATTACTTTCAATAATGTTGTTGTAAGCTACTGTCATTACCTGCATCTCTCTCTTTCTCTCTCTCTCTCTCTCTCTCTCTCTCTCTCTCTGTCTCATTGTGTCATACGGATTACTGTTAATTTATTATGCTGATCTGTTCTGTACGACATCTATTGCACGTCTGTCCGTCCTGGAAGAGGGATCCCTCCTCAGTTGCTCTTCCTGAGGTTTCTACTGTTTTTTTTCCCCGTTAAAGGGGTTTTTTTGGGGAGTTTTTCCTTATCTGCTGCGAGGGTCATAAGGACAGAGGGATGTCGTATGCTGTAAAGCCCTGTGAGGCAAATTGTGATTTGTGATATTGGGCTTTATAAATAAAATTGATTGATTGATTGATTGAAAACCAATGTCCAGCTAGCTTTCCTTCTAGTGGATCAGTAAGTAATGGGAACTGCCCATTGTTCCGACCATATTAAACTCATTGTTCCGAAGTCCGTTCCGAAATCATCATCATGCCCTGTGGTTAAGGTCTGGTTAGGTTTAGGCACAAAAACCAATTGGTTAGGGTCAGGAAAAGATCATGGTGTGGGTTAAAATGAAAAAGAAAGTGACAAACACATAAGCCGTGAGCCTGCTCCGCCTCAAGCTGGTCACGGCGCACCATACGCCCGCCGCGAGCCGTTCAGCACCGCGGACAGTCGGACTAATGGGATGTTGGACCAATGGGCTGTCGAACCAATGACATGGACCCCAAGTAACACGGCTAAATGTTAGCTAGACGAGAGAGGACTGTACTGTACTGGCTGCTAGTTAATTCCTAGCTGGTCAGCATTGCAAATCGCCGCAACCAGGGACCGGGTAGCGAGTGTTGGTCGGCCGACATCCTCATTGCCATTCTACGGCAGCCCTCGGACAGTGGTACCCGCCTCCCTTCCTTCTGTTCTCTTCTCACGGAGGCAGCTATCAATGGACATCACCCAGGTAAGTGAACAGTAACACTGAACTGTTTTTCCCATTCAATTTGAGCTCCAACCGGCCACATCGTTTCCATACGGTACCGTTTATTCTAGAATCGGGACTGTTTACATGTGCATATTAATATAATTCCACTTTAGAACATGGCACTCATAAATACTTGATTCTGATTGGTCAATCAACAAAATTCTGCAATGTTTATTTCTTGAGATATCACCGCTGCTCTGCTGCTTTGTTGCTAGGGACGCCATAGCAACATGCATTCGCAGCTACTGGGCACCCAGCATCTCTGACCGGGAAAAGTGGAGTAAAATCCTCTCCTCTGCTCCAGAAAACGGCCGCAGTTTGTCTGGTGAATGCCTCTCCTGTGTCAGTACACTCTGCCAGCAATTTAATAATATTGATGCCAGCTGTAACATTTGAATGTTTTAGTAGTAAGCCATGTTCTAAGCGGGATAAATTATCATATGCTCCCTGGGATAAATTATCACATGATAAACTGTCGGGAGTTATTTTTCAACTGTCATCGGCTCACTATACATTATCCCTTACGTGTCTTCTGTTGTTTGTACTGATACTGTACACATTGGTATACTTTACTGTGAGTTGTTTATACTGGTACTGTGCATTCTGGTATAATTATTTGCATTACACACACCTTCTCATTCTACATATACATAAAGGTATACCGGTGGCTTTACAGCCTACATTTCATTGATTATCTCTGATCACCATGGCCAATTTGGTCGTTGCGACAGTGTGAGCAACACCGCTGACGCTAGGTGGCGCCAAGCTAAAAAAACCTGAATCCTATCTTTTGCCTCTTTAAGTGAGAGACCCAGCCTTCAAACCTGATTGGACACTACTGACAAAGTGACATGTCACTCTGTGATGTCACCAAGCAAACTTAAGGAGAAACTTCTACAATCTTGCAGCTTGAACCACTGAAGGGGGCACTTGCCTTTTTGTTGCTCTTTCTCCTGAGCCGCTGACCGACTCTCTTACTCAGATTCTTTGCTCTTTCTCCTTAGCTTCTAACCGGCTCTGACTCAGACTCTTGCTCTCTTTCTCCTGGACCACAACTGAGGTAGGATGGAAGCAGGAGGACCTGCTATGCCCTTCTCCCATTTTCACACCCCTGCATGCCCACAACAGGAGCAGAACCTGGCGACCAGAGAAGTTAGTGTGCCAAACACAAGGTTTGCAAATATCTTTCCAGCAACAAAGAGAACCAAGTTGAGTTAGCACCCCAACGTCTAACTCTGCAAGCACACCGAGTGACCGGCCTCTTTGGATCTGCACCTTTGGAAGAAGGACACAGCAAAGCCCGCACCTGGAACCACAGCTCTTTCCAGCCTTCATGTGCTGGCTAACAAAAGCAGCACACCACAAAGCAACTCTTCCTTCCATCCATTCAAGGATTGGTAATGTAACAAGTTGGCATAGCATTATTGCAGCTGTACAGGTTAAGCAAGACTGTTAAACTTTGCCAATTGTGATTTAATGCTGGTTATTGAGTTATTGTTGTGATTGTTTGCAGTTAGGTTATTGGTTAGTTGGCTTA